TTATAGTGCTTTGCAGCCCTCTCTAAGTGGTTTACAGAGTCAGCCTATTTCCCCCAACCATCTGGGTCCTCATTTTACCCACCTTGGACGGATGGAAGGCTGAGTCAACCTTGTGCCTGGTGAGATTTGAACTGCCAAATTGCAGGCAGATGGCAGTCAGCAGAAGTACTGCACTCTAACCACTGGGCCACCAGGGCTCATCCTAGATCAGATATCCTTGCTTCAACTGACTATCTCCTTCCCCTAAAGGATCAGTCAGGATATCCTTCTGGGCCACCTTCATGGGTTTGAAAGAGGAGATAGAATTTGCAGTGGTTCTCCTTTCTCTGTGGCTGGTTTCAGTCAATTTTGTTGACTGGGGGGATGTAAGCCCTAGGGATCAACTCTCTCCCATCTCCTCTTTAACATCTATGTGAAACTGGTGGTCATCCAACAGTATGGAGTATAATATCATCAGTACACTGATGATAACAGAATAACCTTATTATAAATCATATTTTATGATGCTGCTGCTGATATGTAACTAAAGCACCACAGATCATTCAGATCACAAAGGGTGTTGGAAGGAGAAGGCAAACCCTACTTTAAAACCAGAACATTAAAATAAAATTTTAAAACTGCCTCTACGTTAGACATGAACTTGGAGATGATGTCATGAAGATATATGCCCTCTAAAAATATCTAGTAAGGCATCTTTGTGCTACTCATACAAGAACAAGAAGACCTTCTGGGAAAAGCAAAAAAAGTCAAGGTAGTGCTTTGGCAATGTGATCAAATCCCCATCTCTTTGTACAAATGATGATACATGCACAAATGTCCAAAAGGGAAGTGGAGTTGTGTGTTGCAGCAATTACAAGCTTGGGTTTTGGGTCCTTCCATAGATGTCATGGAGGAGACCAAAGAGGAGGAGCCCAAAGAGATTTGTGAAATAACTCATTGGTTGACATCTACTCAGTTTTCAGAATGTGGGTAGCAGTAGGTACAGAAATCACAAAGTTAACTTCAAGAGTAAGATCCTAACATGAACTTTGTAAAAAGGGCGCTTTTTACAAAGTTGATGCTGAACCTTGGATGGCATGCAAAAGTTCTGAGTGCTGGAAATACTATCTTCCTATTTCCCTGAGTTATAATACTGGGAGCCTAGTTTCTCTTTTCTTTTTTCACTTTGCCTGCTACTAGATATTTGGTTTGAACTCTCTGAATTAATCATGAATTGACTTTGCTGTAAGTGACTGACCTCCTGGATATCAGGTTTTATTTACTGGCTTACTTTACAGCCAACTCTTAATCAGATCACTTTAAAAAAAAAAGAAAACTACAGTCTGAAATTGCAAGCAAGAGAGAGAAAGGCCACTTCCTCTGGCTAGGGAGATTGTGAAATATTGTGGAGACAATTGATGATATAACTTTGGCCATGTCTGCTATTGGCTTGATTTTAGACCTGTGTTTCTGTTTCTGTTAGCTTTCATTCTGTATTATCTGCAGCAACCAATGCTGGTTGCAAGAAAGGAGGAACTATACGACAGCTGGCTTCCACAGACTCCTCTTTTCTGTTGTCCGTCTTCCTACTCCTACTATTTTGAAATCTCTGCATTTAGAGATGGACTTTAGAGGTATGTCAATGGTTGTAGTGAGTTTGAAAGAACAGAGGTAGATTGCTTTGCCCTGAGCAGAATATTTATTATAGTGCAAAATCCTCATCTCCAGCTGAAATGGGACATACGTCCTAGACCCTCTCAGGGAGGAGGGGTACAACCCCAAGGTCCCAAAGTAACATGATTATCCTAGTGTCCTGAAATAGGATGACCTGAAGAGTATCAGTTGTCTGGGTCAGCTCTAACGTAATCAAGGTTTTACAGGATACCCATTTCCAGTCTACAAGGTTTTGTCTGCATTAGAGTATGTAAATTCCCAATCACAGCCTTTGATCTAAATTATTATAATTAGTTTTTACTTTTTTTAGTACTTTAGTTAGTTTCGGCATCTGGTAATCTTCATTGCTGAGCAGCAAAGTGGCTGCATTTGCTGATGATACCTAACAATTCAAGAGAATAAAATCAAAAATGAATTGTTCTATACTGAGTGAAAGGTTTCAAAGTGTAGATGAAGTTCAAAGTAAAAAGCACAATCATGCATGCTGGCACCAACATCTGTTTTTCATAAATCAATGGATGGGATTTGAGCCTGGAGTGGCTAGCTGAGAAAGCAATTGTGGAGTCATGGTGAAAATGTCAAAGCATTGGATTTTCACTGGGCAATCCTAAGTACTAGTCTACATCAGCAAGAGAAATTCACTGTGATAGGCCAGCAGTCTCTGAGCCCAACCTATAATATATCACAGAATTGACTGTTATAGGAAAAATCAGAGAACAGAGCCTTATAAATGTTTTAATGCATTCCAGAACAAAAGATGGCACATAAATCTAACAAATAAGCCCATGATCAAAAATCAAATCGCTTCATCCAGATCACTAATGAAAATGTTGAATAAGGCCCAAAATAAAGCCTGTGGCATTCCACCCAATGCTACTAATATAAATCCCTTTATAAATACTTTCTGAATGTAGCTATTCAGCCATTTCTTAATTCATTTAATCATCTAGCCTATGTTTTATCAGTTTATTAATGAATTTATCAATGCAGACTGTGTTGAATGCTTTCCTGAGGTTAACATACATATATCCATGGCATTCCCCTTATCTATTAAGTTAGTTATCAAAAATGGATGTGATGTTCCCGTGGTTCGTCCATGAGGCCAATGTGGAGAAAAGACAGGACACGATCTTTCTCGGGATGGAGCGACCAAGATTGGGGTCTGGAAGCCCCTTTTATTGAGATAGGACAAAGGCAGGAGGAGCAATAGCATGTGACTTAAGACAGCCTGTCAAAATACAATTGCTAATCTACTGCTCAGGGAAGTTCTGTCTATATATGGTCATATCCTGGTCAGGATGTTTTGTTGTGAACTATCAGGATGTCATGGAGCACTATCAGGATGTTATGTTATGTAGGAGTTTGTTTCTTCCTATGTGGTTCAGTGTGGCCGCGCATGCCCCGTTATGCACTGGGCCATGGGTGACCGCTACCCCTACACAAGGAACTATATTACAACAAATGGACTTGTCCAGCTTTGACTGATATGCCAGTTACAGGTCTTTTGGACCAAGATTCCCTTGACAATAGTAATTCATGTCCTTGTTGCTTCATAGGTAATGAAATGTAGATGATACATGAAGACAAACTTGGAAGCGTCAAGGTGTATAGAATGCAGGACTACCTGCTATTTGAATAGAGAACATATTTAGCAGTATTACACATATTGGGTCAGCCCTTCAAGACTGGCCAGATTAAAAAAAACCAGAAATCTCTTGATATCTCAGGGGGTACTTTAATGGATTTAAGGTACAAAAATAAAATCTCAAAGGCCAGTCAATGCCCCTCGTTACTTATATCAAACAAAATCAAGGCAGAGTTTTTCTGAGTTTCTTTCTCACACTTTCTATTCTCCCAGGGTTTTGATAACTTTTCTGTAAAAGCTCAGCTTTTTCTTCTCCCTTCTCAGAGTCAAATCCACTTTTCATCATACTATCTTGCCTCTCTCCACCCCACCCCACCCATCCCCACACATTTGTGTCCAAGAATGGCTAGGCAACTTGTCAAGATCAATCGACAAGACTGAAATGAAAGATTTAGGCAAAGCTAGAATACGCTTTTTCCTATCTTGTCTGACAACAGCAATGTGGAAACATTTATGGCAGGAAGCAGGTTGTCACTATATGACAAATCTGAAGACAGTTCGGTTGATGGGTCTTGCTTTGGTATTTCAGAAGAAACTGATGGGCAAGTTGTAGCGCATGGATGCTCTGCAGAGAGAGGGATGTGTTGAGGATCTATCATCGTATTCTACAACTGAAAGGCAAGATCCAAAGTCTCTTTGATGAGAGAGCAAAAAGGCTTTCAGGAATGTTGTCACCTTTCAAGGCAGGCAAGGTCAGGAAAAGGATGTGCTAGCTAGGAGCTTTCCTAGCTTTAAAGCAATTGAAGTATTGTAACAGAATCCTGAAAGCCTGCCAAAACCCTTCTCTATTTCAGTTTATGCTTTCCCAGGACTCATATATATAGATTTTTTTGTAATTGCTTGGCACTCCCCTCCCCTGAGCCCACATATCATAAGTTATTTGCGTTGGTTATTACTTTGTGTCTAGCTTCAATTCAATAGGCTGATTGCCCCTGTAAAATTTTATACAAGGGGTTTACATTTGCCACAGGTTCAAGCCATCCCCTGCAAGCTATGAGAGGTGAGTGGCTGAATATACCTTCTCCTTGACTGCACCTACTCTTTGGACCAACCTGCCTACTGTGATAAAGAAGCCCCAACCTTCTAGCTTTCCAAAAAGCCTTGTTGTTATATGGGTACTGAAAGTCTAAGAGCTGCCTTGGATTCATTAGATTAAGTCAACTGCAGTAATGTTTGTATTGGCTTGTTTTATTTTTTACCATAACTCACCTCAAGTCCTCAGGAAGTGGGTTAGTTGTTAATAAGTGTGTGTGTGGGCAGGGGTGGGGAGAGAGCGGAGGGAGGGAGGGAGGAACGGAGAGAGAGAGATGTGGTATTCAGCCGGTTCTGTCCAGTTCAGGCAAACTGGTAGCAGCGGCTGTGGGATGCTCTGCCCACGCGCCCCAACGTAGTGCATGAGCACTGCACATGTGCATAAGGCAGCATGCATGTGCAGACAAGGTGTGTGCACTCACATTTGCGAACCAATAGGGAAGGTAAGTGAATCCCACCACTGAAGAGACCTTTTTAAAAATTTTAATAAGGAATGAAACAGACATGTTTTCTTGTAAATAAACCATTCTTGGATGGTTGGATTATTTTCAAGTCACTCACTATAATTCCAGAAACTTCCATAAGCCAATATTGTCACTCTCTCTATATTCGCTGAAGTCTTTGGTACCTTTTAATTTTTTTGTTTTCATACTGTTGTTCTCTGTTGCAGGTGTGGCCTCAACTAAATCAGATGAGAAAGACTCATCTTTTCCCTATGTACCTCCAGAAAGGAACTGGATTATTTCTTCTGGTCATTCTTCCCTTCCAGGTACTTTACTCTTTCTTCTTTAAAACATTTCTATCAAATGAAGCAGTTTGCTTTTCTTTTGCCCTGCATACAATTCTCTTATTTTCAATGAAGAGCTCAGGTGGTTATTGGTCTTTTGTTACAGTTTATGTTTAAAACAGCCTTGGTGAAACATTCAGATTCTTGCTCTCTCTTATTCTTATCTAGAGAATCTAAAGAATTCAATAATTTTCAACAACCTCTCATCTACCTTAAGGATTCTAAGAAGACATACAAGTGCTGTAGACCTTTAAGATTTAGGGAACAGGTGAATGAACAATGAGTGAACTGAATAAATATTTTAAGCCAGTGCTGACTTTCAGTGTACATACATCTAATAGGGATATAGTTTTGATGTAAGGTTAAATGAATGTACATTAAATCTGGTCTGAGCATGATAAGAGATATAATATGTTACATAGTTGGTGCATTAGTTCTCATTTAAACCAAGCCTTCAGAAAAAACATGATATTTATTTAATTCATGAATAAAGTTCAGGAATGTGCAAAAAATGTGTCAAGCTTGAAATCGTCATTTTAAAGCATTCTAGGCTTGAAATAAAATGTGTGTATTTTAAGACTTGGCTCAAGATTGAGACAAAACTTGGTTGTTTTCAACAGTCATAGAATATTATCTGAAAATAGTCCATTCAAACCATCAAACCATTCAGATCTCAAAATGAATTTTTTAAATGCTCCCAAGGTGGAATAGAATAGAATTCTTTATTGGCCAAGGGTGATGGGACACACAAGGAATTTGTCTTTGGTGCAAATGCTCTCCGTGTACATAAAGAGAATAAAATACATTCATCAAGAATAAAAAGATACAACACTTAGTGATAGTCAAGGTAACTAATAAGCTATCAAATCGTACTATTAAACAAATAGAACAATATAAATTGAAAGATACAAGCAACATGGTTATAGTCATAAATGGGAAGAGATAGATACTAGGAAGGAAGAGAAGAATAATAGTAATACAGTCTTAGTAAATTATTTGACAGTGTTGTGGGAATTTGTTGTTAAGCAGAGTGATGGCATTTGGGGAAAAACTGTTCTTGTGTCTAGTTGTTCTGGTGTGCAGTGCCCTATAGTGTTGTTCTGAGGAAAGAAGTCGAAACAATTTATGTCCAAGATGTGAGGGTTCTGTAGATATTTGCACAGCCCTTAAAACAAAACAAAAGTGTTGAAAGGGTTTTATTTCAAAGTTAGAACAAAATACTGAGCCATTCTAAGTGCTGTTGCAATGGAACGTAGTCAACTTGATGTTTCAAGGAAGTATTTTTAGCAAACCTGTTTTGTTCTGACCTTTTTTCTTTCATGTACATATTGATAAGATCAGTCTTGTCTGACGTCCTCTTTCCAATTGTAGCAAGCCAAATGCTTCTGAGAACTGAGAAGCATGACATCAAATAGCAATAATATTTAGACTTATATACTACCCAATAGTACTTCACAGCACTCTCTGAGTAGTTTACAATGTAGAAGCATTTTTTGCATATTGCCCCCAACAATCAGGGTCTTCATTTCACCAATCTTGGAAGGATTGAGGACTGAATCAAAGTTGAACTCTGTCAGGGTCAAACTTCAGACAGAGGGCACAGTTTGCCTGAAATACTGCACTTTAATGACTGCACCACCAGCAGTGATTACTCTCTATTTGTTCCATAGAAATTGGGCAAGTTCTTTTAATTTTAAATAGTGTTTTCCAGATACATTTGACAGCATGATCCATCAATAAATTTCAAAATGTATGAAGAAATATTTGTAAATTAACTTGCAAAAAACTGTAGAAAAATATATTTTGTTCTCAATTATTCTTGAGCCTAAGGAGTAATGTATTGGCAGTGTTAATCTTTAGATCAAGTTATTCAATAAATATTTAATCCCAATAAAGTCTTATTTATTTTCTGCAGCAACTGTTTCTCAAGAAAGGAACTGGACAAGACAAGCAGGTAGTTAGTAGTAGTAGTAGTAGTAATAATATTACTAATCTTGTAATCATTTCTCTTTAGCATATATTTTCCTGTATGTTTCCCTGCTGTTCCCGTATTCAAACATGCAGCCTTAGAAAAAAAAAATCTTACCCTATTTGTTCCTCCAAATTAATTCAGCTAAGTCGAAAACACTTCTTGTGTAACAGAAAACATTTTTTTAAATCAAGTATTATTTGGAGAAGTTTGTTTTCGTTTCAAGCCAGAACCCATATGACATGCATTCTTTAAATAACATGCACTACAAACTGAAGAGAAGGCACATGCTTTATTTAATTATTTCATGCCTACATCTCACTGAGGCTTGAAATCCTTCAGAATAAAAAATATTTGGAAGATGGAATGTGAATGATCAATTTGCAAATACATCCAATTCCTCAACCTCCCGTCCTCTCCTTTCCAGGGTACTTTTCTTTCATGACACATAATCTGGAGATGGTTGGAATAACACAGACATAATAATGCAAATTATGTATTTTAAACTTTTGAAGGATAGATATATGTAAAAATAATGGGAATGAGACAGATATACCCTTTTTGCTTGCGGCTAACAGTGCTTAGATAACACCCTGCATTTTTGAAAAGAAAATCTGTCCTAGTTTAAAGAAAAATATCCAGTGTCTTATAATCAATTTAGACTATGGTACATTTAGGGGACCACTGCAACCTTTCTTCATATGATTTAGTCTCCAGGCCCTTCATCATCTTAGTTGCTCTTCTATCATTTATAGCGTTCAGAATTTTGTTTATTTACATTTTTAATTATGGAACAAGCTGTCATCTCTGAAGGCTGTTGGGTGGAGCAAAGTGTTCTGCTAGTTTTACTGAAGTAGCCAATGTAAACTGGAATCTGAATAACGTCAGAGTGGATGTACAGCCAAATGAAAAGAGCACTTAAGTTGCTCTTGTGTCACAGGCTAAACCAATTTTATAAGTGAAGCAATAAGTAAACATGCTAGTAAATTGAATTTTGTTCAGTCATCATTCTTCTCCATCTAATAAGTTCCATGCAAGTTAGAAATGTATACATAAATTAGTGTGGGTTTTTTTTTCTTATTAAAGGAGACATTCTGAAAAGCATAACTGCTATGTGAGAAAGTTTTGAAATGGTAGCCAATCAGCACCCAAGACAATTTAGCTTTTTTTTAAAGCTTGCAAAATTTTATTTCCTGCATTCTTAAAATTGATCCTAAAGGGGAATACTGCATCAGGACATTGTGGAAATGAATGGAGTGCCTTTATAATTGCTCCATATGACACATCTGTCTTTTTCTTTGAATCAGTGACCAACTACTAAAATGCATACAGAAAAAAAGATGAGTTAGTATCCCCTGTAAATAGCTTAATCATGCTGTGATATTCATCCGATCAGCAAAGTCGGGACTTTATCAATAACAGCAGTGCAACAGTTAATTTTACATCACTTCTTTACTATTATTAAAATATAGTAGGAAATAATCTGGGACAAAGGATTTCTTCCACTTTATGTTTGCATATAGCAGGACAACTTGTGTCTGATAAAAAAATAAATGTAATTCATTTATTAAAGTTAGTATCATTGATTATAATAATATCTTGATTGATTGGTTGGCTGTAATGATTTTTTTGTCTTTTTTATAATAGAAACTCCATGTAATTTTGGATGGAACTGTTCTTGGATTATGTCTGCTAATAGCTTTGGACAACCTGACTGGCTACTATCTTCAGTTGTTGCTCTGACTTCTCAAGAAGATCAACACATTATGGACATAATCTCATCCAACAGAGATCTGGAAGGTTATACATTTTTGCTCCATCTTTATATTTGTGGTTAATTATCTGTCTGCATAGAGAGCTTCCTTTCCCAGTTGGATTTACTACTTTATGGTACCCAACACTGCGGAAGCCAACAAGAACGGTTCTCATGAATGAAGGCAAATATACATGTCTCAGGACAATGTTGCAGGATCCAATCTGGGTCAGTCATCGGGAACAGAGGTTTTGTCTTCCGAGCTTTCAGACTCATGCTGGAGCCCATCCACAGGGGACTTCTCTCTGCTAGAGAACATCCCTGAAGATGGACTCCAGTACGAGTCTGAAAGCTCAGAAGACAAAACCTCTGTTCCCGATGACTGACCCAGATTGGATCCTGCAACATTGTCCTGAGACATGTATATTTGCCTTCATTCATTAGAACCGTTCTTGTTGGCTTCCGCAGTGTTGGGTACCATAAAGTAGTAAA